CTCAGTGCAGATTGTTAGCCCTTTACCCAGTGCCCTCAAGGCCTCCTTGTAGCACCTGCTCTGTTTCCACACAGAAGCTGTTCTTCCCCTTCCCATGTTTGTGTTTTTGTGGTTGTGCCCACCTTCCCCTCCAGACTGTGAGCTCCTAGAGGGCAGAGAATGTGTGGGTATTTTTTAGCCCAATTGGAGGGCACAGTGGCTGAGTGAGCAGATAAGAGGATCCATTGCCCTACCTACCAGCTCAGTTCTTAGAGAAAAGTTCACTTTGGTCATTTTAAATCGACTAGATTGATAACCACTTAAGTTAATTCTGTGATTATATTATCTTTCCTGGTTATATTAACTTATGCTGAATAACCACCCCCCCCACCAAAGTTTTCTGGTATGTCACTATATGTTTTCCCACATAATTGTGCTGAGCAGGTATACAGACTGGGGAGATGCACTCCTTCACGTGGTCATTTGAAAACACAGCTCTTCCATCATGTGCCTTCTCCATCCCTAGGATGTCACCCTCATCGGCTTTCATCAGCCTGAGGGGACAACATACAGAGGAAAACTTAGTTCTCTGACACAGACTGTAATTCATTCAGAATTATTGTGTTGTTCAAGTCTTTACCGAGTTTTTACTGTATAATGAGCACTGTGCTAAAATCTAGGTGGAGATCTGATTGAACAGCATCTTGGCCTGGGAGAGTCCCCCAAGCTAAAGAAGGAGCTAGCACGTGGCATCAAGTGCCTGTGATCCTAAGGAAAATGAATAGAGTGAGTGCTCTCCGAAAGTTCAGTGAGTTATTCTAGATTCGGAAGCTACCTGGAGGTCATAGCACTCGAACCCCAGTTTCAGAGATAAACAAGATATAGCTGGCAGAGGAAGACGGCAGCGGGAATGCTAGATCAGGTCGATTATGTGCAACATCTAATAAGAAATGGTATGCAGCCATGAAATCATAGATTCAAAAATATTGAAGGGCCGGGATAATTATTCATGTTAAATGAAAAATTACTATGAATACAGGGTGACCCCACTTTGGGAATAATTCTATGTCTAAGTGGAGATGAAAACATACAAATATGTTGAAGGTTTGGTAATTTTCCAATTTTCTAAAATGTTTATTGTTTAATCAGAAGGCTTTTATCGATATGCTTTGGTTTCACATATTATTTTCTCCAAACCAGACGTCAGGCACTGTGATGTAAAACAGCGATCCTCACACTTCCCTGCCCCACCGCTGGGGGTCCAAGGGCAGCGACCTTGTCTGTCTTCTCTGTCCTGGAACCCAAGGCCTGATTCAGGAGCTCAGTACACATTCCGTGAAATACTGGACTTGGGACAAAGGCTGTATTTTCCTAGTGTGAATGATAGGACGATGACTTCTAATAAAAGACACTCCAAATACTGACTCTTAGAGAACTACTTTGGTCTAAGGGCAAGCCTGGGACGATGTCTCAGTTTGGTGTCCGCTAGTTTTGCTGACAGAACCGTGAGTCCCTCAGTATGCATGCCATGTCTCATATGGCCACAAGAGAGCAGTGCATCCCTACTCATGATAATGAATTTGACCCACTTCCAAATTTACAAGTTTGCCTTCTTCAAAAGCTTCTTGATAACATTAGAGAATTTCTTTAAGGAATATTTATTTGATTATCCTGTTAAATTTCATTTGGAAGCTAATTAAAATACTCTTCAAGTAACAAATATAAGGTGATCTCCAGACTGGAAGATATCACTTGACAACAGACACGTAAAATTATGTGTCCCACCTTCTGTGTCCACTGTGTCCACTGTGTCCACTGTGCCCCTTTCCCCCTCTTTCTCCATCCATTTATAAACATATATCTTTGTAAAGTATCGTTTGACCTTAGACGTGAAGTATTACAGGTATTTGTCTATCACATTGCCTCTTTTTGGTGATATGAGTCTTTGGGTAACAAGTGGTCTCTTCACAAGATCGTGGAAATGCCTCTGACCTGGGAGACCTCAGCAGAATCAGTTCTGCTTTGTTTGCACATCTCTAGTTAGGGGTGAGTGACAGCTGGATGTCTGTAGCCCATACCCCCTTCCCATGTGTCTCCAGAGACAGGAACTCTGCATGTCCAAGACCTCGCAGAAGACGGAGTAACAAATCTTATTATTTGTTGAAGGAAAAAGTTATATTATCCAAGGGTCTTCAACTCCAGTCTCATCAACTGCCCCATAGTCTGAAGTTGGTGACAGTTGCAGTTGCCCCTCCCCACCCCGCACCTGCTCTGTCCGCCAGAGGAAGCAGAAGTGTTGTCCTGACTTTCCCCCTCTCACCTTTCTATCGTTGAAACCTGAAATTCTGGTCACTCACATCTTCCTTGTTTGCCCCCTTTTACGAACTCAGAAGAACTTGTTCTATTTACCCTGTCACCTTAGTTTTACATTTGGGGCTATTCTGTGGAGATTGCTTGTCCCATATCTTTGAAGAAAAAGGTGAGACTGAGGATAAAAAGATTTAGTTTTCTGAATTTCTGTCCATGGCGGGACTGAGCCTGGACTGCCACAATCAGAGCCACAAAGCGGCAGTGAGTTCAGCCCAGCCTGAGGCCTCCAGAGACCCCCCCCAAAACAATAAAGTGTCTCCTTCTCCCAGACAAGGCCTATTTCCTGCTTTTCTTTGGCTACTTACCCTGTCAAAACTGTCACTTCTTTGTGAGCCTCACTGTGGATTCTCCATGGGTCGGATTAGCCCGTAAAAGGTGCCAGCAGGGTACCCTCCTGTGGCCTTCAGCCTCACTGGCCACCTCTCTCATCAGGGCCTTGTGGCCGCCTCTGCCCCTGCTCCCTAGTGCAGGGAAAGTAAAGAGAGGGCCTTATCATGAAGGGCACATGGTGGGTGTGAGGAAGAGAAAAAGCGCACAGTGACTGGGGGGGCGCCAACGATGTTTATCTATTGACCCGGGTGATGGTCAGCGGTGCTAGAGATGATTCACTGCACTGTACGCTGTGGTTCTTTGTACTTTTCTGCATGATTGATCTATATCAAATAGAGAACAGAGATAGAACATGGAGCAAAATAATTATTTTAATTAATTGATTATGTTTAGATGGCTGGGGAGGGGGGAGGAGAGGAAGGGAAACACTGATGTAAGGAGAAACATCGATCGGTCACCACTCGCCTGCACCCCAACAAGGGACAACCCGCAACACAGGCGTGTGCGCTGACCAGGACCAAACCGGGGAAATTTTGCTTTGCAGGAGGATGCAAAGCAACCCGCTGAGCCACACCTGTCAAGGCCGAAAATAATTATTTACATGTGTGAGAATGCATAAAAATAAACAGAAAAAATACATTGTTTTTCTGGGGGGGATTGAACAGTAACTGAGATTAAAGAAAAATAAATGGACAGGGATCTTACAGCACATTGATGATGTTTAGATTCCAGAAGCTGAGGGTTATAAATAGCTCAGACTCTGAAACTGAGGCTGACATTGAACAAAGGAAAATTTAAATATAACAATTAAACACTAACTTTAAGTATGTCGACGTTGTTCAAATTCAAAAGCCACACCAGGGCGCACACGGGAATGAAGCCTCAGCTCCCCAGCGCGGAGACACCCCTCCCCAGGCTTCCCGTGCGCCCTTCCCAGGAGGCTTGTGGTGGGCGTGAGATTAAAACGTGAGTGGGTCAGAGGGGTCTGGTGCTGGTGCAAATGTGCACAAACCTGGGGACAGAAAGGCCAGGGTGCAGGACAGAAGCCCGGCCCAGGCTCCGTGGTAGGCCTGGTCCCTGGGCGCCCCAGGCCTGACCAGTCCCTCACTTCCTGGGAGGGTGGTGTGAGGGAGCAAGAGCAGGAACAAGAACTCCCCGGTGAGCAAGCAGGGCAGGTCTCCCGGCCTCAGCCTGATCTCCAAGCTCCTGTTTCCTGCACTGCGGCCAGACTTCCCACAGCAGGTTGGGACACAGCAGACCCCGGGGCATGGCCACTCACTCCTGAGCAGACTGTTTTGCATAGAGGAAGACGGAGCATCACTGGAGACCTCATAGGAAGTCAGCTTCGTGGGTGGGGAGGCAACTTATCCCAATCTGCTGCTGAAGGTTCGTTCCATGGTGGTCAGCACCACTGGATCCAGACAGTGACTTCCTGGGTGGGCCCAGGCAGCCCCTGGAACTGCAAAGTGAAGTTCAAGAGTATGGGACTAATGTCAGGGCTCGGAGCTCTGACCTCGTGTCTTCCCTCACCAGCAGAAGACGTGCTGAGCCGCTATTCTGTCTGCGCTCCCTGGCCTGTCACTGTGGGTCATGACACCCGGTTGCCTCCTAGGGCTCCAGTGAGGACCCAGTGTGCAGATAGCAGTGTGGTGACCCCGCCTCCCTCCCCAGGACCCTGACCTCACTGGCCCTACAGTGACCCCAGATGTTCAGCAGTGGGGTCAGGGGTGAGGTTTTGAATCAGGCTTCTCTGGGATCACTTCTTGACCTTGCTCTCTACTGGCCTCGTGCGCACAGGAACTTTGCTTACCTCTTAATCCCTCGGTTTCCCCTCCTTGACACGAGGGTGACAGTGCAGGGTAAAATCTCATAGGGTTATGGGGGTTTGGGGGGAATGTCCGCATGGCGGGTGTGCTGATGCCTGGCACAGTGAAGGGCTCACGAACCAGTGGAGGGAGGGTTGTGAGCTGTCGGGACAAACGTGCGGATGGACTGGCTGACAAGCAGACACAGACTGTGCTGCCCTTCAGAGTCCCTTCCTCTCTGTGCCCAGAAACCCAGTTTCTCTACCAAATGCCTGTCCTGTTATGACACATGCCACTGTCCCCACCCCCAGATCAAGTTAGGGACAGAAGGCGGCTCTTGTCCCTTGGGAGTTGCCTGGGATTTTACCAGGAAATGCTGAGCACTCACTCCTAGGTGTGTCCCACCCACCCGAGTGGAGCAATGGTCCTGGAAGCAGGCAGCGAACGTGGCCCCAGGGCTCCCAGCCCCTGGGAGGAGCCGGACTGAGCCTTATAAAGGGACCGGTCTTTGCCCAGATGCACAGCACATGCATCCTTCTCCTCAGTGACACCTCGTCAGCTCAGGTAAGTCTGCAGCAGACTCTGCCAGGAGGGGTGCCCGGGCCCAGCGTGTTCTGCGCTATGCAGCAGCAGGGAAAGCAGTGATGGGAGAGATTCCGGAGCCTGGGTCCAGCCTCAGCTCAGCCTCCAACGGGGCTGTGTGACTTCCTCCCACTGAGGTCCCGAGGTCCTCATCCACAACACGATGGCTGGACTGATGCTCCCCATTGCTCCCTTCCCTCCTCTGGGGCAGCTCCCGTGCAAACACCCCCTGGTGGAAGATGCAGGAATGACCCTCCCTCCCTCTCTCTCCTCCTCGTCTTCTTTTCTGTCTGGACTCACCTGACTCTCAGGCCCTGGGTTGGCGAAGGCCCACTGTGCACCCCCAACCCCGGGGAGAGTGGGTGTTCCTGCCAGAGTCTTGCAGGGTCTCCTGAGCCCAGGCCTGGGACGCCCACTCACCTCGCCCCTGGTGAGAAGACCTGCCCCTGGGTCAGGGACGGACCAACCAGAGCTTCCCGACCTCCTCCCCAGCTGAGGGAATGGCCAGTGACCTTCTGGGCACTGGGCTCAGCTCTGGCTTTGGGAGGTGAAACCTCTTTACTTACATGTGGCCTAACCTTGGAGTTCCAGAGAGCAGGGAGGTACAAAGGTCAGATAATTCCCAACTACAGACAATCTGGAGCCTATCCGTCCACATTCCACCCAATAGCCTAAATCTGGGGCAGGCATTTGTGTTTATTTCAAATCTGATGCCAACTGGGGCCCCCAGTCCCTCCTTTTCACGGGTGGGGATGGTCCAGGAAAACCTCTGCCAGAGGGCAGGACAAGGAACTGTGTGTCTGCGCACACTCACCATCCTACTCACACTCACCTCCAGGAGCCCCCACAGTCCGTTTCATGTAGAGCCTGCTTTAGGCTTACAATGGCCCCTTGGGGGTCTCCTTCCAAGAGCAGCCCCGGGGGGGGGGAGGGGCGGGGTCAGACCAGATTGGCAAGGATGTTATTTTGTCCCCACGACTCTGACCCTGACGCTGACCCTGGAGGAGATGGATGTGATGTTCTCTGACGAGTGGAGTCATCAAAACGCTGTGTTTGGCTCGGGTCCTTCTCAGGGTGGTGACCCCTCCCCTCTCTGCTCCCGGGAATCCTGGGGTGCTGCCCACGGTGGGCTCCGTGTCCTCCTCCACCTCCTCTGGACCCTGACCTCCATGGGCCCAGGTTCCAGCCTTGGTCTCACCCTCCTAGAGTGACACCTCATCCCACCTCCCAGGGTGACACGGTTCCTTCTGTTCCACCCGAGCCTCACTTCACTGGATCCTCGGTCCCCACCCCATTGTCCTAACCTGGAGACCCTCACTGGGGGCGGGATAACAGAACCACTGTCCTTCCCTCTGGCAGCCCCTTTGAGAACCAAGATGAGCCACACCGAAGCTGAGAAGTCCGTGATGGGCATGATCGACCTGTTCCACAAGTACGTCAAACCCGATGACACGATCGACAAGCCGGGCCTGCTGAAGATGCTGAAGGAGAATTTCCCCAACTTCCTCAAGGCCTCTGTGAGTCGGGGCAGCTTCTCAGGGTTGCCTGGGCCCTGGCGTGGCTGAGGGCACTTGGCTGTGAGAGTTTGGGCGACTCACTTCCATTGTCTCATCTGCAAATGGCTTAAAAGGACTTTGTACCCTGGCTCGTGATCAGGATGGAGGAGGTTATGTACGCGGTGATGTGTAAAGATGTATGGATGTCAGATAGGGCAGTGAGTAGGTGGTGGGACAGGAGAGCAGTGCGTGGATGCCCTCCCACCTGTCACTCTCCATCCAGGAGACTGAAGCCCAGGTGCTCGGGCCCGGCCTCTAGAAGCCTCTGTTAGGTTCTCTGAGATCCAAGACGAGAAACAGAAGTCCCATCACTCGTAAAATTTAACACCTTTCTTTACAACACAAAAGCTCATTCACAGGCCTGGTTTAACCTGACAGTTGGAATGTGCTGAAGTGGGTACACAAGGGGGCTACTAGGTGACACAGAGACGGGGAGGGCACGGAGAGGGAACTGAGAACGGAAGATTCCATAGGCCAAACTGATGACCGCAGAGGAGGCTTGGGAATGAAGGAGACAAGGGCTAGGGCCTTTTCTAAAGTTGCTGGGTAGAACTTAGGGTGGGTCAGGCCCTTGAGGTGGGTGGGGGAGTGGGTCTGGGTCTGGAGACCACCCACCCACCAGCTCATTGGTCAGTGCGGCTCTGGTGCTCGCCACCACCAGGCCTCTCATTCACCGGGATGGTGACGTGAGGCCAAGGAACCTCCCTCAGGGAGCTGCAGGGGAACCTGACGTCCCCACCCCCCCACTGAGCCTCCACTCGTCTGCACCAGCTGCACCTGTGTGGCCCCAGGTGCTCGCTCCCTGTCCGTGCCTCCTTCTCCTGTTCCACCCTCAACACTCTGGGACTAAATCAGCCTTGTTTTGTGTGTCTTTCCCACAGGACAATCAGGGCAAAGATTACTTGTCCCATATCTTTGAGGAAAAAGACAAGAATGAGGATAAGAAGATTCAGTTCTCCGAGTTCCTGTCCTTGGTGGGGGACATAGCCACTGAATACCACAATCAGAGCCACAAAGGGACCGCCAGTTCCGGGGGACACCAGTGAGCCCGCCCAGCCCCAGGCCTCCAGAGACCCCAGAAACAATAAAGTGTCTCCTTCTCCCAGATACAGCCTATTTCCCACTTTTTCTTTGGCTACTTATGCTGTCAAAACTGCCACTTCTTGGTGAGCCTCATTGTGGATTATGCATGGGTTGGATTAGCCCTTAAAAGGTGCCAGCAGGGTGCCCTCCTGTGGCCTTCAGCCTCACTGGCCACCTCTCTCAGCAGGGCCTTGTGGCCGCCTCTGCCCCTGCTCCCTAGTGCAGCCAACACGCCCGGCCCCAGAGGCCAGCAGGACAGAGAATTCTGTGGGGCCCCAGCCACGCTTTTCCTTCTCAAGCGTGGATCCGCACCAGGGGATCGTGGAACTGCAGTGAGCAGGAGCCCAGGTCTGACCCATGGGTTCCCCACGCCCACCTGCTCCTGCCCAGCATGACCCCAAGGGCACAGGGGAGATGGCACCCCTGAAACAGGGGTTCCATGGAGGGCATCAGGGGCACGTGGGCACTTGTCACTGTGAACAGGATGCTCAGCAGTGCCCGGGGGACTGGATCCCTTGTCCTGTGTCCTGGGCTCCTGGGCTGTGTCCTGTCCTGAGCATCTGCGTGTGTTTCAGCCTGCGTGTGTGTCCCTGTGGAGGGGAGAGAGCCACCCTGTCTGCTGAGCTCATCCCCGAAATGGTTTGCTAAATGCCGGGAGGTGGGTGTCTGGGGAAATTCACCCGGTGATCGGGGTTCAGGTGTGAGGAGCTCCAGCTAGTCCCAGAGTCCAGACAACCTCTGGGCGCTGAGTGAGAGGATGGGACTCGGGGGGGAGCAGGGAGCAGAGGGCACTAAGGGATGGGCGGAGAGCTCATGCTGCGCGTCATAAACGACAGTCCCCTTCCTCTGCCACAGAAAGGGGCATGTCATCTCCCTCAGGCTCTTCGAGATCAGAAAAGGTGCTCGGGGCTGAGGATTTCAGAAACAAGCAGGACAGAGGGGCTGCCTGAGCAGAGCGCTGGCTGTCCCCACAGATGGGGGGTCTCTCCATGGTGCCCGGAGGCCGGCCAGCGCTCACCTGTACGTCCAGGGCCACCTCTGGGCACGTCCCTGAAGCTCCAGCAGCTCCCCTCCTGGAGGCTCCCGTCATCTGCTGTCACTCCCTGCCTCCCGCTCACAGCCTCCCACCGACCCTCAGTCAGGCCAGCATTCTTCAGGGAGGAACTGGGCAACTGCCTCCAAAATCTCCTTCTGTCCCGCCTGCAGGAAACTGGTAGCGGGAACCATTTGTCCACTGGATGGCACGTCCACCTCCTACTCCCACCCTTCCATTAGCACCTCGGCTCCGAGACCATCACCTCCCTCCCCTGCAGGGACGTCCTCTCCTGACCACAGTGTGCAGCTTGCCATCACTTAGGACATGTCTGAGCTCTTCTTCTCCTACATCTCACTCTCTGCTTGCTGCTGTCTGTCCCCTCTCTCCCTGCGCCTCACTCCACCTGCTCTCACACTTGGGGAGACCTGCTCCCCGGGGCCTTTTCACCGTTTCTCCTGTCAGAACGCTGCTGATCTGCCACAGCGGCCGCTCTCTGCTGACCAGGGTCTCTGGTGCTGACTTTCCTCTGGGCCACCCCTCCCCCCCTCCCCCACCCACCAACCCTCCCAGCCTTCCACTGTCTTCTCTCCTCCTGCACCAGGACGCTGGGCTGGTCGCTGCCAGGGCTCCCAGAGCCGGTGCCTGCCCTCCTCCGCTCAGCCCTCCCTGTCCCCGTCCTGGGAACCCAGCTCCTGAAGGCCCCAGTACTTGCAGCCCCACCCCAACATACTTTATTGTTTCCCGGTTCAGTTCAATTTTTGTGATTCCTCCCTCTGCCTGAAATGTCTCTCGATGCCTCGTCTGCCTGGTTACTGTCACATAGCTCAACAGAGTATAAACATCACCTTCTCCTCAGTGACTCTTTGGAAGTGGACACACAGAACTTCTCCACAAATAAATATCCTTTCCTCCTTTATGCTGCCCATCACGCTGAGCCCACTTGCACTGCAGGAGCCTCATCGCGTCCCACATGCGCGCACCTCATGCAGACTGGGGAAGGAAAACACGTACTTTAGCATCGCTGATCTCCAGTACCTGGCAGCTCCAGCTCACAGTGCTTACTCTGACATCACTTCTTTTTGTTAAAATATGTGTGTTCAGATTCTGGTCCATCCCATCCAATGTTAACAGTAATCAAAAATGTAAAAACCTCCAGTTTCGAGGTTGGCTGTGAAACGCAGGAAGGAGCCTGGAAAGTGGGGCCAGGCTGAAAAGTGAAACTTGAAGCAGCCAACGGCTGCAGCTGAGACCGCCGTCCTGACCCTCCCAAACAAGGAGACGTGCGCGCCAGGCGGTGGCTGCGCCTCCACGCCCATCGCTGGTCCGCACCAGCCCGCGGAGCAGGCCGTGGCCTCTGAGGTGCGCCTGCCCTCCCTCATTTCCCCAACATTGCTTCCTTCAGCTGTCATAGGTTAAAAATCAGGATGAAGTGGGTAGACAAACACCTACTCACCTTCTGGTCGGGTTGAGGAGTCACACCCTAAAGGGACCTTGTGTGGGATCCCGAGACGGGCTCGCGTTCTCAGTGCTGTGGCGCGACGGTCAGTTGTAGGACTCCTCACGCTCTGTTGGGATTTGCTCTTTTGGTGCCCGTGTCAGCCCAGAGAGGTCATCTCCTGGAGGGCAGGGACCATGTGTCTGGTCCAAAGTTATTCCCCATTTGTCCTGAGGCAGCATCGATTGTGCCACGGCAGGGCGCTGTAGAAGGGTGTTAGTCCCCGCCCTCCGGGGTGGGTGAGAGCGCAGGAGAGGCCTGACGGAAAGGGAAGAGCCCGGCCACCTCCACGACCTTGCTCCGCGTTGGTGTGCGAGGAAATCGCTGTGGCTCTGGTGAGACTGAAGAGCTTCAGGAAAAGGCCGCAGCTGAACGAGTGCTCGGGGCCTAAGGTCTGAGGGAGGCTCTGACACCAGAGGGGACTCGGAAGTGGTGCCCGAGGAAGAGGAGTGTGTGGACCCAGGACCTGGAACATTCTCTCCCCCCCCTCCGTGCTCTGTGTACACAAAGGTGATGCCTAGGACGGAGTTCGTTGATGTGAGTGGAGCATGGTGGCATTTGTCACCCTGAGCATGTTGCAGGAACTATTTGCTGTTTGTTGAGCCCAAAACATTCTGCAAAGTGGAAGCCCAGGGGTGTCGGGGGAGGGTGCTCAAGAGCACGTTTTGTCCACGTGCTGGTGGGAGATGAAGTTAAAGGAGATGTGGGTGCCAAAGGAATGTCCTGACATAAAACGTCCTGCGCAAGTCCACATCGGGCAGCTCGGACCAGAGTCCCATCGTCCTGCGTCTCAAGGACTTCACGTCTACAGAGCTAGGCAGCTCCTCAGAGACAGCCCAGCCCCAGCCTGTAACTCAGGGCTACACCACCGAGGCCCAGGAAAGACTGACATATTCAACACTGCGAAGGTTGTTGGTGACAGAGTGGTGCCTGCGATGCGGGTTCCCTGGTTCTCGGTGAGCACTCGTGCCGGTTCCAGGCCGTGGAAATTGCTAGACTGTCTTCATTTGTTTCCCCACCTTTACATGTCTCATGAGTGACATCACCTGGTTATACCTCGTTACACGAGCACATTCACACCCGTCACCTCATGTGATAACGTTGAGTATCCCCTGGGGAATGGGTCTTACTCCCCTTTGACACTCGGGAATCCAAGACATGAGGAAGTGAGTGCTTCCCCTGAGTCACACTGGGGGTTACGGTGGAGCTGGCACTGGAAGTCGGGACTCCTGACCCTGAGTCAAGAGGTTAAGTGTTAATCACACTTTCTTACAACTTCTTACTTCATTCAACCCATGAGTGGGAGTCTGTCATGTGTCAGGACTGTCAAATCCTGTCCTGGTCCTCGCCTGGCTGTGGAGGAGAATACATAAATATTATCAGAACAATATGGAAGTTGAAAAATAGTGATAAAAACTGTTATGGGATTGTGTAAGAAGCAATAAATACCACTTGGGAGATTACAGAACCTAACAGAACAGGTGGCTTTTCATTAATTATTATATTCTGTTAGAAGTGAACAACCATAAAGGTAGGTTTAAGCAAGAATCCTTCTACAACTGGACAGGATCCTGAGAAGGGCCCGCGTTCACTCTGCTCGGGAAGCACTTGTAAACCTCTTCCAGGAGAGGATCCAGCCAGGGACTGCGATGTCTTCTGTAGTGTCCTCTCTTGCGGTTAAGAGGAAAAATATCGGACTTCGGGTCAAGGTTGCAGCATAGGTAAACACGACTCACCTCCTTGAACAACCACATCAAAATAACAACTAAACTATAGGACAACCATCACTCAGAACTATCAGAAATCGAGGTGAATGGAAGTCTGACAACTTAATCCTTTCACATTTTCACCTATTACCCCAATGTCTCCTCCCACCTGGCTGCCATCAGACCATTCCAAATCACTGATTTGATTCTTTGCTCCATGCCCTCTACTGTTGATTCCCTGTAAATTGTTCTTCATTTCAGTTAGTGTCTCCTTCATTTCTGACTGGGTCTTTTTTATGGTTTCTGTTGAGGTCCGCCCTGCCTGGTCTCAGGAAACTATGGCTAACCACCCATGGCTAAGGCTGAGTAAGAGGCCTCCAAACCAGGAGACACTAAGGAGACAAAACTTATCTCCCTGGCATGAACGCTGCCTGTTCCAATCCTGGCTCCCTTTGCATGATCAGCAGTCAATGACGGGTAACAATTCTCTAAGAAAGAGGATGAATCTAAGACAGACGTGATCACGTGGGAATGCCCTAAGAGTAGAGACTCAGGGGGCTGTGGAAATGAAGGGGTTATCGACATCGACCCCTGCCCCCTCGGTTTTGTCAAAGCCTGAGTCCTTGTGAGAAATCCAAGTTGCCTGTGAGAAATCTCCCAGCTGCCTTTGTCTCCTCTGCCTGACTCAGGCTTGTGGAAATAACAGGGGCGGTGCAGTCCAGGCCAGAGTCAGCGGACCCCCGGGGTAATCAGGCCTGAGACATAGAATATGCAAAATCC